CCCCCGCCCCCCCCCCCCCCCCCGTCTCATCCAGCCCCGTTTGCTGCTGCGGGCCTTCTCACCTCTGCTCAACCAGTATCCTGAAAGCATGTAAAATGTTGATCCCTTTAGACTGGAGGCCTATACATTAATTCAGTCATCTATGAACTCTGAGAAATTCACCTTCTCAGCAAAAATTCTCTGCCGCGACTGAGAAGACACCAACTCTAATACCCTCAGCACCGTCCTCATGGGGTACAGAGCTCACACTAACCCTCCCTGGGCTGTGAGGGCCGGGGCGGGGTGGGGTGGAGCGTTCGCTTGGCTGTTCCCGCATGGAAAAAGGTATCATTTCACAGAATAAGAAACGATCTTCAGCGGGATGGCAGGAACGGAGGACTTTGGCTGTCTCATTTCTAAATCAATAAAGAGGCCATGGGTCAAACTGCGGTTGCATCTTTTGACTTCCTCTCCCTGGTGCCTGAAGAGACAGTCCCGTATGTTACTGGAAAGGTAAATCTGAAGGGGCTACTCGGAGGCTGGGAATTTATCCAGCTGGGAGCACTGCCATGGTCCGCAGCTTATTCAAGAAAAGGCACTTAGTCACTAGGGGACGGGGACATATGGGGAGCACGTCGAAAGCAAGTGTTAAGGCCAGACAGGAAGAGCTGGGGTGGAGTCTTGTCCCCTACCAAGAGGCTTTCTACTTAGCTCTGCCCCGAACCCCTCTCCAGACCCTTGAATGCTATGCAAATTAATGCACGATTGATTACAGATCACTGATATTCAGAAAGCGCATCAACAGAAGCCATTAATCTCTTACCACGTTGTGGTTCAAGGGATTCTCTTCCCTTAGCTCCAGTCTCGCTTTTGAAGCGTCACCATCATTTACAGGAATTTTCCTATTTAAAAGGACACACCAACTTGATGAAAGCATTCCTCACCAAATCCATCTTTCACAGATCTCCCCCAGAACAGACTGGTTTGAACTAACCCAGTTTTTCCAACTGCCCTTAATCCCGCCCCCAACGATGGGCCAGGCTGAAAGTTGCCCCCACATGGAGAGTCAACCTGGCCAGGAGAAAAAAAAAAAAAAGGAAAAGGGGCAGGGGTGGGATGGGACATGTGAATCACAAAATGTCCCCTGGGTGGAGAAGCCAGAAATCAAACACACCCACTTCTCTCCAGCACGGTCTTTCGAAGAGAGGGAGGCCAAGCAGGCCAATCTGAGCAAGACTATCCTAGCCGACTCCCCTAAGCTCTAGTGGAGGGTAGACATTAAGAGCAATGGGGGCTGGAAGGCTGGAGGGTATGTGCTGGCCACCTCATCAACCGCTCCTGTGAGACCCATGAGGACCAGCAGCTTTCAAAACTTTGCTCAAAACAAAGTTAGGGACCATGTCCTAGGAAACTGGTTTCCATGGTGATAATGAAGCCATATTTGACTGCCTTTATCAAAATGACAGGGGGGATACAGCACTAGTATCATACAAATGTCAGCTGCTCCAGGCTGCAGAGGAAGCTGCGCATCTGTGCCAGGCTGCGGCGGCTGCCCTGGGACTTGTTATCAGAGAGCATCGATAAGGAAAGTGCTTGGTGCCAACTTCCAAATCCCCAGGATAAAATCGCTGACAAGCAGCAGAGGAAAAGTTTCATCGTTACCCCCGAAGAGCAGCTTCAATCATCCACTGCTTAGCTGCCTCTACCCCACGCTCCAAAATTACTGATCAGGTGGCAGAACAGAGCTGGCGGGCAACTAAAACCAGGCCCCGCCAGCCTCGCCGATCATCGGGCGGCAGAGGACGACCAGAAACCCTGGGCCTAAATGAAGGGAAGGATGGGTTATCTTCCCGTTTATTACTGAGCAAACTATTTGTTTTAAAAGCACATCGAATGCCCATCCACCTGGGCCCACACTCCTGACATTTAGAGTTAAAGCAGCATATAGACTGGGATTAATTCTCCTTCATAAATATGAAATAATAAATTAAGGACGGAAGTGCACTGAAAGGCCGCTTTAGGGGCTAATCTTTTAAAGGGCGGCAATGCTTCGCTGAGCTGGGTGGCCTGTTAAAACTGTAAATCAGGAGCCGCCAGCTAGGCGGGAGATCCTTCTCCCCTACCCCTTTTGGGCCCATTCTGGCTGGGAGAGGGTGAGGGGCTTCAGCTTGGACTCTGCTCTCCTCGGGCTCTGCTCTCCTCGGGTCTGTCCCCAGAAGGCGCGTACATTCACCTGTCTTCGCTCGTCCCACACATGCGGACCCTCTCGCTGTTCATCCAGCTGTGAACGTTCCCATACAGGGGGGTTGCTGAAAGCATGTCGTCTTCTTGGATGGCAGCTTTGCTTCAAGCGTCTAGTCTGTTAAAAAAAAAAAAAAAAGTCCCAGGAGGTTGAGTAAAGGAGAAGTCAAACAGGGAGTTAGAAAAGGCTTCTTTCTAGGCAATTCCTACAGGATGCAGACTGTGCTTGATGGTATTCAGATGTCCCGGAGTGGGGGGACACACCTGAGCCCAATGCACGGTCAAGAGGAATGCC